AACTGTCATAAACACATGCCAGTTGCCAAGAATCCAAATTTTGATCACCTGACCGTGGGGATGCTACAGTGGTGGCAAGTGTGAAAACCAGTCATAAGCCCCTTTTTTTCAGCGCCACTGTAACTTCAAATTTACACCATGGATGGTTGTATGTAAAAGATCATCTGTAGTCAAATCAAACTCTTCTGAGCAAGGTCCTGGTGGATCTTTTCCAGTTATTATCTAAAACCTGGGGACTTTATAAGAGAATACACCAGTCTGATCAGCTAAAAGGAGTCAGTGTAACCTAAATATTGAGATAATCTATTGAGTGAGATAATATCGACTGTAATAATCACCAGTTTGTAGTAAGATTAATAGTAAAGAAATTTTCACTATTAAAGACGTTAAATTATAGAATTTTCTGGAATCTCCCTTCTAAAACTGCACATTGCAAGTTATAGCATGCAAGCATCAGAGCTCTTCCAGAATTTCAGTACAGTAGTTTGATTGAGATGTCTGGCAAGTTTATATCTGGTGACTAGAATTAGGCTTCCCTCAGTTTATTCTTCCATATCGAATACTCATTGTCTGATATTCTTCTAGCTGAGTCGTGCCCGATTATGATCAGCGCATGAAGGGAGAAGCTGTAATAAAGTGGCTTCTCCAGCTCCTTTTTCCATTTTGTGATGAAGGGGTTGTCTCATATATGGGATTAAGTCTAAAATAATGACTTTTAGCCAAACTTTGAAGCCATTGATATATGCACTCACTTCAAATTTAAGGAATCCTGCTTCTATAAAAAAAAGAGTTTGGGGCATGCACCAGTGCATTTAAGGAATATTTCTTAGGAAGTTGGACTCAATGTGGGTTATTTGATTAAGATATATTATTAATTCTAACTACCCTTTATGGATTTTCTGCTGACACCAGAACTGAAAGGATGAAGTTTTATGGATTTGTTTATAGATAAGAAACGTAGGATGAAGAGATAAATGTAACTTCAGAGAGGCTGAAGAATTATTAATTTTTTTATACTTGTTGAGATGAAGATTGGAAGTCACTTTATACAGTATATTTCTTTTCTCTTTATTATATTCTTTCTTTTCTCTCTAATTTTTTACTCTCTACTTTTTATTCCTTTCTATTTTCTTTAAGTTTAGTTTGTATTAGATTTTACTATTAATACCAAAATTTGGTTAGAGAGAGAGAGATGAAGGATAGAGTATATGCCAAATTACACTCATAAAGGAGCTGTGCTTAAGCCTTTGCTGAGAAGAGTTTTATTTTAGCAAGAACAATCTGGCCACTGCAAGGACACTAAAAAGTCTGGATGGTCAGTGCCGATTTGGATGCATTCTATGTCACACAGTTTTTATGGGTGTGCCCATTTTATTTACGAAATGGCATGAAGACATTCTAAGGAGAGGCAGAAAACATTCTAAGGAGAGGCATGAAGACATTCTAAGGAGAGGTGAAATTATTAGATGTTCAGCATAAAAGATAACAGTTTTATTCCACTGATGAATCTGATGGACTAGGAAGGTACGTGAGGATGGGTAGCCTGGAAGCGGGAGACAAGGCACTGAGCATATTGGAGGATGTGAGGTAGAAATGTCTTGTGTGGCTTCAGCCTGATAGGATGGAAGGAAGGAAGCTGATGTAGGCTATTGGTGTCTGTGCAGAAAAGTGTTTAAGTCTGGATGGGGCATAGGAAAGGAAAGGTTTCTATTTCTGCTATGCTTACATTGAAATAAAGTTCTTTTTTCATTTCCTCAACATTTGTGCTTATTTTAATTAGTGTATAACATTTAATCAATGTGGTCAAGTTTTGTGCTTATTTTTAATCATCAGTTGATCTTTTTTTGTTAAAATGGGGTTTGCTTTAAGTATAGAAGGAAGGGGCAGCATGAGGGTTTCTAAAAATGAAAAAAGAGGCCGGATTCAAAGGTTTACGAAGCCCTATTTTATCTGCATTTAAATCCAGCTTCAGATTTATTCTAAACCAAGAAAGCAGTCTTGGAGTAGCAGCGAACTATCTGAAGAAGGAGCAGGTTAAAGGATGTTGGATAAACGCATAAACAACTTTTAGAATGTTTAAGTGCTTACAAGTTCTCTCCAGATTTATTTTGTTCAGGTCATGGACGCTCTACTAAGAAAATCCACAATAACAGATTGATACAATTGTCAAATAACAATATTAACCCTTTATAAACAACTTTCACTACACTGTGTGCACAATTATTAGGCAAATGAGTATTTTGGCCATATCATTTTCATGCATATTTTCCATCTCCAAGCTGCATAAGC